GGAGCTGGGCATGTTTAGCCTGAAGAAGAGAAGGCTGAGAGGAGATATGATAGCCATGTATAAATATGTGATCGGAAGCAACAGGGAGGAGGGAGCAAGCTTGTTTTCTGCTTCCTTGGAGACAAGGACGCAATGGAACAATGGCTTCAAACTACAAGAGAGGAGATTCCACCTGAACATGAGGAAGAAGTTCCTGACTGTGAGAGCCGTTCAGCAGTGGAACTCTCTGCTCCGGAGTGTGGTGGAGGCTCCTTCTTTGGAAGCTTTTAAACAGAGGCTGGATGGCCATCTGTCAGGGGTGATTTGAATGCAATATTCCTGCTTCTTGGCAGAATGGGGTTAGACTGGATGGCCCATGAGGTCTCTTCCAACTCTTTGATTCTATGATTCTATGATTCTATGATAGGAAAGGAAGAGGAGACAGGATGATGGACTGATTGGTGAGGACGAGGGAGAGGGCCTTCTCGGTGGTGCCCCCCACTCTGGAACTAACTCCCTAAAGACATCAGGCCTGTCCCAACCCTGGCAGTCTTTAGGAAGAGCCTGAAAACTTGGCTGTTCCAGTGTGCCTTCCCAGAATAAGGAAAATTCTCAGCAATATGCCCTCAGTATGCACTTTACTACTGGTTTAGGATTGACTGCGTTCCCTCATCTCTCTTTGAAAACCCTATACCAGTTATATCCTACCTTGTTCATGCCAAGCATTTATTTTTTAATTTTTAAAACTATTACATTTGGCCCAGCTATAGGTTTTTAAATCCTTGTGTGTTAACGTTTATTGGTTATTGGTTATATGTGATTTATATTAATTGTATTGTATTTATTGTTTTTGTTTATTGCTTTTGTTTATTGATGTACTGTTGGGCTTGGCCTCATGTAAGCCCTTGGGGAGATGGTGGCGGGGTATAAATACATTATTATTATTATTATTATTATTATTATTATTATTATTATTATTATTATTAGGGCCGCGGGGGTGCAACGGGTTAAACTGTTGAACTGTTGAATCTGCTGACCTAAAAATTGGCAGTTCAAAGCAGGTTCTTACCTCCAAAGCCCTGAACGGTTTGGGACCCGCCTACCTGCGTGACCGCATTTCTGTGTACGAACCCACGCGATCTCTTCAGAGTAAAATAATAAATAACCTTGACTCAAGTATAAGCCGAGGGGGACTTTTTCAGCCTAAAAAAGGGGCTGAAAAACTAGGCTTATACTCGAGTATATACAGTATATGTGTAATTGTGGCAATTTTATGCTTATGTTGTTTTGTTAATTTTATGTTATGCTGTTTACTCTGTATATTTTGGTGATGTTGCTTGGAAACCGCCCTGAGTCCCCCTCGGGGAGGTAGAGCGGTATATAAATAATGTATTATTATTATTATTATTATTATTATTATAGATGCAAAGGAGCAGTAAGAACTAAGCACAGGACTGGATTAATAAAAATCAGTCCATTAATCAGAACAGCCATAGCCACAATGGGGGAAGGCTGAAGGCAGAGTTTATGAAAAGTTACCTTTCTGGATTCTGGAAGCACCACCCTGCAAAGAAGTAACTTTTCCAAGTGTGATCTATAAGGTAACCTACCTAAGTCTGTCACTCGCTCGAAACACGTTTATGTTGAAACAGAGGACAAGGATGTACAGAGATAAAGGCATGGGGTTAAAATGATACCTGAAACTAAGCATACAAGGGGGAAGTTGATACGGATTGAATATCTGGAGATCAATAAGGCCGGTCTATTGAATTTGCAATCTCACCAACTGGAAGAGATGGAGCCTGATAACAAGGAATGAAGGTGCTCCTTCGGCAGGCTTCACCGTCTTATTTGAATGCATACCTTGGGGTTGTGTTTTTGCTCCTTTGCCTGCTGCGGAGCTACAGTTTATAATGTCACAGATTTTGATCTTAGCCTGTAGATTTTAAAGCATATTTGTGTGTGTGTGTGTGTTTGTGCTGCTGGACGTTGCACCATCTTAAATCACACACCTTTATACAGGGAGGGGGACAACAGCCTTGCGAACACTACTTTACCCACAATGTCAAGGAAGCGCCAGAAGGCAAAACCAAGGGCTGCACAAACACAACGAGGACCAAGTACCAAAAGCACTATAATCCCAATTATACAGCTCAGGGGAAGATCTCAGGGGCTCACATGTCTTTACACTAATGCACAGAGCATGGGAAATAAACAAGACGAACTCCAACTTTTAGCACAACACCACAAATATGATATCATAGGCATCACTGAAACCTGGTGGGATGACTCCTATCACTGGAATGTAGACATCGAGGGCTATAACCTCTTTCACAGAAACCGAACCAAGGGGAGAGGAGACGGAGTAGCCTTATATGTCAAAAACTCTTATGCTGCAGAAGAGATGCAAGACAGCAATCCGGGAAACCAGCTTGAAAGCATCTGGATAAGAATCAAGGGAACTGGGACTCAAAAAGATCTCGTTGTTGGTGTCTACTACAGACCTCCAAGCCAGGAGGAAGAACTAGATGAAGTCTTCTGCGAACAGTTGACCAATCAGGCACAGAGAAGAGATGTAGTAGTCATGGGCGATTTCAACTATCCCAATATTTGCTGGAAAACAAACTCGGCCAAGAGTATAAAGTCCAACAAATTCCTCGCTTGCCTTGCAGACAATTTCATGGTCCAGAAGGTAGAAGAGGCAACAAGGGGGTTGGCTACTCTTGATCTCATCCTAACAAATGCGGAGGACCTGATCGATGCAGCTGATGCAGCTTTTAAACAGAGGCTGGATGGCCATCTGTCAGGGGTGATTTGAATGCAATATTCCTTCTTATTGGCAGGGGGTTGGACTGGATGGCCCATGAGGTCTCTTCCAACTCTTTGATTCTATGAAAACAGAAGACTTTGATTTAACCCCTTGTGTGGTTTTACTGTTTCTTCAACTAAGAGCATTAAGCACCTGAACTGTCAGCTCTTAATGGAATTCTTAAATTACAGCAAGATATTGTTTCCTCTCCCGACTAAATCCAATTGCCAGTCCCAGTGAAAGCACATCCATTCATCCAACTGCCGGATAATAAATTAACAGTTACCCAAATCCCATGGATTCAGTCACTCTGCTCTACTTGAAACTAGCAAATGGATGGCCTCTTTTTATGGATGCCTCTGGGTTCAGGCAATGGCACTGATTCCAATGATGCCACAGAAATATCCTTGTGCTCAACTCAACTAGCATATGAAAAGGGACAGGCTAGCACAGTGGTTTCAACTGCCTGCTATAGAAGATCCTGCTGACCGGAAGGCAATAATAATAATAATAATCCTTTATTTATACCCCGCTAACATCTCCTGAAGGACTTGGTGTGGCTTACAAGAGGCCATGGAATGTGTCCAGAGGAGAGCGACTAAAATGATAAAAGGTCTGGAGAACAAGCCCTATGAGGAGCGG